CAGCAGGTGCATCGCGATACAGGGTATTTGTACGTCGTTGTCCGCGTCCGGTGTCGTCGGAAACTCGGCAGCGGGATGGAGAAGCGCCGAGGGAAGAGTCGTCAGCCGGCCACCTTTCCGCCGCCGTTGTCGACGGCGGAGATACGATTCCGGAAACCTCGGCGACCGCGTCAAGCGCAAATTGCAGTAGATGCAGCCGATCTAGGTCAGACAGTCTGCGCACGGGTCGTCAGAACTACACAGGCCAGGCGCTTCGCGATTAAACGAATCTGCGCATGGAAGGTTCAGGTTTCGCCGAACCGGGGTTTCTCGCCGTGCAACACACGGGGGTCTTCTCTCTCTCTCTCGGTCCCCGGAAGCCCCTTATCGCGCTGAAATCATACTCCGGGATCGAGCTTCTTGATTTACGAGCTCGGTTACGAAGCGGCCCATATCGCGGCTTTTATAGCTCGGACCGGCTGATCTTTTCATACGCGCGAGATTTCCCTCGCGAAACTCATTTCGTTTCGCGGAATTCCGACGTTAGAGCTTCGTGCGGTATAATGCTGATTTAATGGGCGGGTTAAAGCAGCACGCGAAATATAAAGAAAGTTATCACGGGCAAATTGTACAACTGCAATTAGATTATAATTGATCCTTGACTGATACTGCGAGAACAAGTCACGCATGCAATATGAAAACGAGGTCCTTGACGTTTCTAGATTTGAGTGAACGGGATAAAGGTTTGTTTGATATTTCATTATTTACACTGTACACGTATGTTGAGCCTAATAAAAGCCAAACATTGACAATGCAGAGATTAAGTTTAACATATTCAGAAATTTCTCCAAACTTCGTAAATTAACATATATTCTTTTATCTTGAATCTTTTAATAAAAATGCGAGAATAATATTGATCTTTCATCCAAGATGCTTTATTTTGATTCGTCCACAAACCATTAGTAAAAGAAATGTTAAATAAATAAGCGAACAAAATATCAAAGCGTAAATAGTTAAAAGTCGCATGCGTTTTTACGAAAATGTCGAAAAATGGATCAAAACATGTTTATTTGCAAAAGTCAGATACATTTCTAAATACATTAAAATTAATGGCTCTTACTTCCTTAATGTAAATTTTAATTTATAGATTTAATCGCAATTACAACAATAAAAATATTTCAAATGCGTGAGATATCCTGCATTGTCTCTCTCACAGAGTTTCAAATTTAAAATTAATTAAGAAATTACTAGAGATGTCACTAGCCAGAAAAATATTCAATCGACGTATGCAATTATCAAATAAAAAGTACCTCGATACAGCCAGGGCTAAGAGTTGCATTACAATAATTAGATATTCCATTAAATTGATTGTTCGCAAATAGCAAAGCTCATCTCTCAATATGCACGATGGGTATCTGCGAAACGCCAATTAGTTTAATCGAGTCGCATTCACCTTCTGACGCATATCACGTGCGGGAACGAAAGCATAATACAGTCAGCGCGACGCGACGTTCGTTTACAAATGTTATTCCGGAACGATGAAATCGCGCGGCGCGCGCATTAGACGTCGAGAGCGCTAAATTATTTATGCCGGCTTTATTCGATTGCAGCGCTGTCGACCGGTTTCAAGCTTGTTGCGCAAGCTGTCAGTCGTTCTGCTCTCATATTGATAAATTTAGTCTACAATTTACTTATTGTTTTTGTCGTGTTACTTTTTGCAAATTTCATCGCACAAAAGTACAACGAATACCATGATTAAGTCAATAAATTATTTCATTATTTAATAACTGTCACAAACTGTGCTAATACGACGAAATAAAACGTGTCTACTTGTAGTCTAAATGTAGTCTAAATGTGATAGTTATATTTATACTTTTTTAAATGGCTTATAAAATCAAGCATATCGAGAGGCATTTACTGCGTCACGTTATTGACGTTCATTATTAATATTCCTACTATTTTTCCGCGGCTTAATGCTTTCAGGTCATTTTATCCCAAAGCATATATAATAAAATTTTCACTAATTTACTTATCCACTTATAACCGTGGAGAGCTTATTTGCGAAACCACAAAATTGCTTTCAATTATCCGTCCTTTGTAGCGGCGATTCGAGACACTTCCCTATGTCAATTATATTACATCGTCGTTCCGAAGTCGACGGGGTTAGTCGATTATCGCTATGCGTACGGAATATCACGCTCGACTTGTTACGCGCGTTGAATTGTCTTTGCCTGGAGAATAACAGGACTAGCTATACGGGAAGAAACGTGTATAAAGAGCGAAAATACAAATGCGATACCGTTTAACCGTTTGATGTGGAGAAAATACCACTATTTGACTATGCGCGCCCCGTAATTGAACGCATTTATATTCAACGAAGAAACAGATTCGCGCGACACACATTGCCGCTGTCGTCGTCGTCGTCGGTTTATGTCGGTTTCAAAGGGTTGTCGGAAACGACTAATGGTAGGCTTTAATACATATATCCGCAGAAATTCTTCACAAAGAAAATCCAATTAGCGGTACAGGGCGAGTGCCAGAGCGCGGCTGTATTTCCCTTCGCGTACATTATCATAGCGCACTCCATTAATCGGGTTATCAAATGTGGCGAGGTCGGTCATTCATGTCTATCGTACCTTACCGGACATCGCCATAAATTCTGGTCAAATTATATGTCGCCGGCTAATGGGTATTTACGATAATAATATACTATAATGATACTTATAATATTAGCTCGCGGTATAATGGATAAACGATAGCTTGTTAATTGCATGCCGCATTTACGTGCATTTGCCGCTGCCGGATTTACCGTATTATATGAAGCGTCGCTTGTTGCTATAAATAGAATCGCGCCAACATTTTACCGTGTACGGATACGCGATACAGTGTAATCCACTGTTCAGCAAATATGCAAATCATTCTTGCTAATTGCCAGGTGCTGTACAATTAAGAAAAACTCAATTACGCATGAATTTAAACCGATTTTTATGCGCCGCGCAACGAAGACAGAAGATGAAGAGAATTTTCGCGATATATCGACTCGATATTTCTTATCGTCGCGACAAAGAAGACAGAGAGATGTTTCTATCGAGCGCCTGCCAACTTCCGGTTGGCTCTCTTTCGTGAAAGCCGTATCTCTCAAAGCGCGCTTCAAACTGCAGAGAAGAAAAAAATTCCGTGTCAGCTGCTTGGATTTAACGACGGTGCCGCTCCTCAAATGTGAAACGCGTATTGTAAAAAAACGCGCAGCGCAATCAACATTTCATCTTCGATATTTGTAGGCTATTGGAATTAATAATCCGAAAGTATCGATTGATAAGTTGTTGAAAATTATATATATATATATTGTATTACTATTGTAGGGAATTAAAATAAATTTTTTGACATTGCACAGTTTTATTTCTTTCATTTGTTGTCACTATTTCTGTTTTATTTCACAAGCACTGAATGAAATCTTATTGAACCTTTATTGAAGAAGTGCTTTTAACTTTTTCATAGAGATCTCGACTTCAATCGAGCTGGATAATTTTAAAAAAGCACGCTATTTCGTCTCGATCCAAGAAATGAAAAAAAGAAAAGCTCTTGTCTTTAAATAATTTAGCAATGTATCAAAATTTGACTTCAAAAATAAAGAGAAATTTATATGCGGTGTGATCTAACTTTAATTAATTTTTCATAACTATAAATGCAGAGATAATTGCAGAAAAAAATGCTTAAGACATAAAATTAATATAATACTCGTATAGCACATCGATATTTGCCTTCGGAAAATATCACAATGTGTAATAAGAGCAGTGCAATGTTGTACAGTTATATTCAGTAAACAGATTAAATGTTAATTAATAATAACGCACAAGTTTCCTCGTAAATTGTTGCTGGTATCGACAACACGTTTCATTTCATATATACAGAATACTGACTAATTTTAGAAATTAAGAAAAATCTAATTAATGCATCACGCTCTATATCACAGTAGCTTTATGTAGATATAATTTCAACACTGATGATTATTCGTAGGTAGACATATTTAGTTGCATAATTTAATTCAAGGTAATTTATTAATATAATTTCTACGTATCGTGCTATGTACACTTTCTCTGTGTATACGCATTATCTTTTCACTTTGTATCTTTGAAAAAAATTGTTCGCAATAGTGCATCAGTTTCCATTCAAAATCGAGATTTGCAGAGAAAATTCGATTCTCCCATACGAGTCAAGTATCGATGTCGTGGAAAGCTCGCGGCAAGAGATACACCGTGTATCTTACGGGAAGAAGGAAGCTATTCGCAACGTCAGCTGAGAGGAAGGAAGCGATCTTATGCGATCTGCCGGATCATTTTTCAATGCACGCTACGCGTAGATGCACTGTCTATTAATACGTAATCGGTTTTATGACATCGCGAGTCATCGTGAAACGCCATTTGGAACTCGTGCAGTCTCTTGCGAAATGGATCGCACGCATAGCGCTGGCATATAATTTTACACACTTCAGACAAGATGTTAAATTGCTAAAAGAAGATATAAAATCAATTATATCCAATCTATGAAATCTCTCTCATACATATAAACAAATCTTATTCAAATAATCTCTTCAAAAATTTGTTTTAAAAATATATATCTATTTTCAATTTACTACACTATAACATTAATTTCTCTGTAAAAGATTGCAAAATAGCTCGAAAATGCTAATAAGAATGCTCGTTCCATAAATACATATTTGAAATTTGCACTTTCAATTTTTTGCGCATTGAAGATGTCTGTTTATTTCAAGATTTTCATGTACTTTATTCTATATTTTTGTGATAAAAATTCAAATCTAATTTCTCATATAAATGCATGCCTTGATTTTGTCTTATTTTTGTCACAATTAATTTATGGATTTATTAATCGTATTATTATGGCTAATTGTCGTTTCACTCTGTGAATATTTTATAGTATTTCTTGTTTATTCTTACTAATGATATTTTTTTTAGTTAAAAATTACACTCTACATCTATGCTCTTTTACAAATATTTCTTTATTTCAGCCAGTGTGCCAGCAAAGTGTGCTACAGTCAATTTCGCTTTACTCTCTTCTATTTCATCGTCACGTTTTTACTCTAAACTTTTACTGGCAATGACGTATTTTGATGTCTTAATGCGACGTTTATCTTGTCGCCTCGGAAGTGGATCTTCACACAAGCGGCCACATACACGGTACCGGAACCGGGCGCGGATGTACGCTCGTGTATGCGTGGTCGCGTATACGCGGCGGGCCAGTATAAAAGCCTAGAAAACACGACGGTAAGTTGCAGTTCTTACCTGGCCGCCTGAAATACCATAATGGTGAAGATGACTTTCAAGGTAGAGTGTCGAAACTCGCGCGCGAAGGAAGGAAGAGTGACGCGGCGCGGAGAAAGTGCTCGTTAAAGAACAACTGCGCGACATTCGGGACGAGAATGTAAGAGAGAGAGAGAGAGAGAGAAAGAGAGAAAAAGAAAAGACAGTGAAAAGGCCAAGAGGAAAATGAGGGCGGAGGGCAACGGATTTTTAATTGCCAGTACTTACGAATTATAATGCGCGCACGCGGTTCACAACGAAATAAATAATTCGGATGAAAGAAAAGTAGCTGAAGCAGCGGTTTGTCGGAGACTTGAGCAACGCCGTGAATTTAAGACGGGCTTAAAATGTTCCTTAATATCCGCTCGATGTAATTAGCTCGTTCACTCAGGCCGTACGTTTTTGCGAAGGGTGGTGTTGTCGTTTCACCGACGCGCGGGGTGCGCCCGAAAGGCGGATAGAAATTCTGGGGGGGGAGAGGGGTTCAATTCCACGCGGAAGAAAATTAAGAAGCGCACACTGTCCTGCGGCAGACGCCTTCTTAATTGAATTAAGTGGTCGTCCTTTTGTGTTTGGTTAATCTCGAGATCCTCTCGACCTCAGAGATCTTAGCTCCCCTAGTTTGTTACTTTTTTCAGAAATGCGCGGGTAAATGTACTTATTTCTCGCATTTTTTTTTTTTTTTTTTTCGTCAAACTCGTTTCACTTCCATCGCGGAGAAAATTAAGAGTCGAGCGAAAAGATTTTAGCAAAATTATTGTAGAATAATAATTATCCCGAAAGATATTTATATTATATTTGCTTCGAACTTTTTTACGAGTTGCGTAATACAATATGTAAGTTTCGGTTATTTAATGATGCATTAAATGTATACACGGTACCGTAAAGTTGCACAAAGCGAGGTGTGTCAAATTCCACATAGTGCATCTCAACATGAATATATTCTAGCATTCTGCATATATTCTAGAATATTCCTAACTTGCGCATATACTCATATTCAGTAATGCAAGTTATACTTCTACGTGCATATACAATTCCAAAATTGTCTGTCCATAATGTTAGGTCTGATCAAATTTGCATAACGTAATGTTACAATTCATGATTCGCAGTTCCATTTGCATCCCATCGTTAATACTTCAAATCGAATGGAAACGAATCTACTCTTAACAATTTACAAATACAACCGTGATCGCGTTGCAAATACATCCACGCTCGACGGCGGGACGCAGCGATCTCTTTGCGTTACATCAATCTGTAAAAGTGCCGAGAATTAAAAGACTCGAGTGTCGAGCGAAAAATGTCGATTGTAACGGAGACGTGGAGGTTGATGAAGCGTACAAGCAAGAACGAAGAAACGTCGAGTCGCGTCTATTCCGCACTTCCAATCGAGCCACTTCCATCGCATCGCGCTGGCTCGTGTTGGTTGGAACGTTGACGGGCTCTCGGGACCCCCCGTAATTAAAAACGAGAGGTCGACGAACCGCCCCTCGCCGTCATTCAATTGCTCGATACCGGTATATCGTAAATTTCTAGGGTTTCATCATGGCATCGAGTTAGAGTTTGTACACACATCGGTCGCGGCACATCGATCGCATAGATCACGATTGCGCTCCGATTGCAATTTCGAATCGTCGAACATTCGACTAGCTCAAAATATCCCAATTTGTTTGGCCCTTTGTACACACGTGCGGGAAAGCATTTGACTAGAATGCGTAAAAATATTTAAATTACATCTCTTCTTGCCTGACAATATTTTTTCACTTGAGCTTTGACCGATTTTACTCCGCAAAATTTTGCACAAAAAATATTTTCTTTCAAACAAAAAAACCGTTAGCGGTAGCGCAGCGAAAATGCAAAAGGCCAGTCGCTCGAAAAATAATATCCCGTTTGTGCGAAATTAATCCCGCGGTTCATAGCCGCCGCGCTATTTACACGCATGATCGATAACTATCGCACGATCGAAGGCGCGCTCGGAAGGCGAATTCTCCGGACCATGCGGCGTCCGTCGGCATAAACTTCTTGTGTCACAGGTCACCGTTGCACTAACCATCGGCCTCGGCCTGGTCAATCGATCAATCGGCGGCGTGATACTGGACAGCGGCGCTCTCCACGATCATCATCACGCCTCGGTGGCCAGCTCGTACATGCACTTCCACGGGCCGGTGCAGGGCCCGGAGTACGAGGTGAAAGTACCGCATGTTGTGGTGGATCATTTCAGCGAGCACAACTATCTGCATGGCACGCAGGAGCACGAGCATCGCCATCAAGACGGCTACACGGTTGACTACGTGGCGCATCCCAAGTACGAGTTCTCGTACGGAGTCGAGGACCATCATACCGGCGACTTTCACGGTCAGAAAGAGTCCAGAGACGGTGAGTGAAAAAGAAAAAAAGAACAAGCTGTTTCGCGTCTTTCGTGACTTTCGCACGCGAGAACGACGACGACGACAACGACGACGACGACGACGACGACGACGACGACGACGACGACGACGACGACGACCGCGAAACGAGA